CTGAATACCCTGAGGATAACTGGTCTGGCTGATGAGCCTGTTGCTTCTCTTATCAGAGCAGGTTTGGTAGCTCTTCTAGAAAGATCTCTGTCAGTGTGTTTTTTCAGCACTGGCCATTCTTGTAAATTGTTAGCAGCTTTCTAGAGTATTAACCCAGCCCTAACTATTAATGATTTTCTCATAGGTACGAGTATGAAACTGGAAGGGAATCTGCACTGGAGATGATTGCCTACCTCCTTGACATGTTCCCACAGGTAACAAGCACCACTGGGTATTCCAAGCATCAAGTAGTTACTGCAGCTTGCAGTAACAGTGTTTTTGAAGCAGTTTGTTTTGTGAGCACTTGATAGTTCTTGTTATCTCTTATCACGAGCAGAACATTCGCTTTTTCCAAAGAACCTGGCTTTGCTTCAAAAGAGAAATTACATTCTGGAAGTCTGCAGTACTTCTTTATCTAATGTGCTCAGTCTGCAAGTAAAATAAAGCTCTGTCAGCTGGAGTTTGGATAAACTTGATGGTGATTTATGCCAGGAAGAAACACAACTAGTTTAGGAAATGGGATAGGAATAGAAAGTAAAGTCTCGAGTTTTCTCTTTGTGGGTTTTTTTCCAACACTCATGAGGGATGTTGTTGACTGAATTAGCATGTGATGCACCATATCTGTTTTGTTGGCCAGACTGAAGAGGGAGGGCTTCTCAGTGGGGTAGACCAAAATGAAAGCTAAAAAATACCTGTGCATCTATGCAGGATAACATAAGCAAAATGCTAAGCTGCCTTAAAGCACTGCACCTCGAGCTTGACTGAGCATTCAGGAGACTGAGAGAAGTGCATGCAATCAAGCAGGACTTTGGGAGGAAGGAAGAGAAGTTCTGCACAGTTAAGCTGTGCTTCACCACTGCCTGATTAGATTTAGTATCTCAACTTGGTTCCCGGCAACTGTGCAGAGTAATGAAGAGCTGCTATTTCTGAGAGAAAGACCTTTTGGCAGATTGCTGCAGTGCTGAGGGACTTAAGCCTGTTTCAGTGAGAGCTGGGCATTTAAAAGCCCTTTAAGATCTCACACTCGTGTTGCTGTCCCTGAGACATGTTAGCGAGTCAGCGTCAGAGAAGGGCTGGGGCTGCGACACACTCCCTGTGCGCTCCAGCTGGATCATCCTGTCCTTTTAGTTCACCTGCCGTGATGTGGACCACGCTCAGGGCTGGCATTGTTCCTATATGCTGTGCAACAGATAACCCCTCTTTTCCCCTTTAACTGCCAGAAGCTCCTTGGGGATACGTGGTTGACTAATGATTGTTTCTTTCTAGGATCTCCTCCACAAATACTGCGGGCTCTTTTTTCTCTCTCTTTGTATGATGATGATAAATGATGACTCTGCCAAATGCAAAAAGATGGCGGCTTTGACGTGTAAATCTCTGCTCAGTAAGATAAACAGTGAAAAACAAAATCTGATGTTTTCGCTGGTCATGGAGTGGTTTCACAGCAAGAAGGTATTCTTTAGTCTTTTTACTGACTAAGTCTGGACTCTATTTCAGAGTTGAGTAAGATTAAAGCAAATGAGAGATTGCTAATAACAGGTCTAGTGGATTAGTGGGTTCAGCTATGTCTGACTTAGTTTTAGGAAAGGATTATGGGCAAGATTCAGCTTAATATAAAAGCCCTTGAAAGCTGTGTTGAGCACCATAGCTTTTGCTAGTAAGAAGAGGAAGAAATTATATAGCTTTGTATAGCTGCACAAAGGGAACTGCTGCTGCTGCTGTAGGTCAGCCTACAGGCTTCCCAGCTGCATTGCACTGCCTTCTAACAGTTCATCTTTTGGGTCAGATATTTCACAAAGTCTCTGCTCAGGTTAAAGGTTAAACATTCCTTAAAGCTCTTCTTATGCCAGTAATTGGCTTTTCATGCTGTCTTAGGTCAGACTTGCTTCAGTCTGTTGCCAGCAGCTGGAGGGTGGCAAACCCAGTCTTACAGACCTCCCATTTTGATCTGGGTGCTTGGCTGTTTAGTTATTCTCAAGCAGGACTCAGATCAGCCCCTCTGTACTAGTGGAGTAAGTGTTCTTCAACACTTCATCCTTTTCATCTAATATGTTCAGTTCTGGTTTATAGCTGTGAACTGTCCATTGTGTTGTGAAGAATCAAAGAGGGCAAAGTAGGCCCCAAAGTTCTGCAGCTGGGAACCGGGCTGGGAAAGGCCTTTTGGCATTCTATTTTAGGCTGTGTTTCCAGGGGTAACTCATGCTGCCAGGTGCTTTTGTCCCTAACTGGCAGCTTCTCCTTTTTCTATAGTACTCTGAAAACCAACTTCTCTTAAAATGCTGTTGCTACAGGCAAAAGTAGGAGTTGCTACCTGCTCCTTCGAATGGGAGCTGCAGTGCATCGCTTGTGACTGTCTGCTTTGTTCTGTGTTATCTACAGCTTTTAAAAGAGCAGAATAACAAGGGGTGTTATTCTTTCTGTTGGCAGAGCTCACACAGGAGGTTGGCTGCCCAGGCATGCGGTTTATTTGTTGAAGTGGAGGGAGTAATGTTTGAACGACGGCTTGAAGCTGTCCTCACCTTGATTGAAAAAGAAATCAACCCAATTAAATTTGAAGATGTAAGTAATTTTTCCCATGTGTGAGGCTTGAGGAAAGGGAAGAAAATGGGAAAAGGGAAGAAGTGTAGGAGAGGTGTATCTGTTGGACTTACTGTTTGGGACTCAAGAAAGACACAGAACACAGACGTTTGTTCTGAAGGGGACCTCACTGACCGAAGAACCATATTTTTACCTGTAAGCCCAAATTTCACATCACATGTCACAGCACAAGGGGCAAAGGAACTTTGCAAAGCCACCTGGCCTGAGCTTGCAGCCATACTGCATAACCAGCAGATATATTGCTTCTTTTCCCAGCATCTTATCGCAGTGAGTGGAAGTGGTTCTTGAGACAGCCCTCGAGTCTCAGGTGTTTGGTTTTTCCCTGTATGACTTGGTGGGCTGACAGCATGCAGCAGTATATATGCTGAGGTAGCTTTCCCTGCTTCTGACCTTTCCTGTGTTGGCAGGAGAGGAGGAACTTCTGGTTTTTTGTTTAAAGTGGAGTTACAAAAAACAGAAAAAAAAAAAATCAGAAAGAATGGCACCATGCACAGGTAGCACCGGGATGGGCTGGAATTGGACTAGTTGGAAAACAGCCTGATGATCACACTGACAACAGCCGTTTAACTGGGAAATGTGTCTGCCAGCTGCAGAGATCTGTGTAAGCGTGGAAGGTCAGGAGTGTGTCACTTGTGACTGTCTGCTTTATTCAGTGTTATCTACAGCTTTAACTTTCAAATGAGTTAAATTCCTGTGCTTGAGACCATGGTTTTGTTTTATGGAAAATCTTTTTAGTGCACGGGATTAACTCGGAATAACAAGGCTGCCTCAGATTCTGCTTGGCGTGTGATGATCCCAAAGGGGTCACAGTCACTGTGCCTGGGGAGTGGCCACGTATGTTACTAATGTGCAAGGGCAACATGCTGAATAAGAGAGAAGAGTCTCTCTGTAAATTGGCAAGAGGTGCAAATAAAATACCTGCAGTGAGGAGAAATTCAGTGTAATCAACCCCTGTGCTGCGACATGTTGGTGAAACACTGGCTCGTTCTATCAAGCCAGGTTGTGATTGCAGGCAGGGTGAGGACCTGAAGGCAGTTTAGTAAAACTCAATGCACACAGCATTGTCATAACAACATGGGGCTTCCCTGGTGGTATAGGCAAATCTGAGCTCAGCTTGGCTCTAATGAGAATCAGATGTGCACAGAGACATGTATAGACATAAATTACATACAACGTGTGCAATTGCTTGCATTTAGAAACCCAAGAGTTTGTTACAATACCATCTGTATAAAAAACAAGAAGAATGGTTGTAATAATCTCCTGCAGAGGTTCAGTCTCCAGGGGAGATGCTTTAGTGGAGCTGCTTCTCTTCTGTTTAATTTGGGAATTGGGTACAAGTCAGTCTTCTGTTTCTTTGCAGGGTTGATCTGAAATTTATCTAGTAGGGTAAATAAGGACTGTCTTCAGATTCTCATAAGCATTTTTCTTGACTTGCTGATTTTATTAGATAACAGAAGAGGAAGAGGAGAAGGCTGCAGATAGGCTGCTATTCAGCTTTCTTGTGCTGGTAACAAAACTGATCACGGAGTGCAACTTGATTCAGTTAACCAGGAACAGTGATGTTATGAGCAATATCTGGGGTAAGTATCAAGAATTATGGCTGTATTACAAGGAAGATTCTTTGTGTGCCATGTGGTTTTTCACACCCTAATATAAACTGAACTTTATCCTCCGAGGTTTGCATGCTGCAGAGTGCTAAAACATGTCAGTTTCTGGGTGGTAGAGATGATGGTAATGGAAAAGGTTACATGGTTGATGAAAACAATAGGCCCTCTGTCTCAGTTGCTGGGGAGTATTTTCTATTATTCCAAGAGCAAATAGTTGCAAACTATTGCGTGTTTGACTGTAATTATGAAAATGTTTGTTTCTCCTGGGAAGATGAAATTTTCTTGATGAGGTCATACACACCAGCCAGCAAACAATGACACAGGGTAATAGCGCTGCAAATACTGTCTGTCTGCTGGGATGTCAAGGCCTGGAGGTTGTTTGATTCAAGCAGTTTCCCTATGAGTGAGATCGTACAGTGTCAGGCTGGCTTCCTGGCTTTTTGTTGCCTTGTTTTTAATTGCTTCATTTGCTGCTATCAGAGGCCTGGATCTGGCTGGTTAGTGTCTTTGATGAGTTCAGCCTGCTGGGTGCTTTTAGTGAGGTACAAGATAACCCTTGTAAATCCTGGATTGCTTGGTGATTCACAGCTTGGATAGACGTGAGACAAGAGGGCAACTCAATCTCTTCTCTGAAGCAGCCTCAGCTTCCATCCAGGGCTTCAGTCTGACCATCTGCAGCAGGTCCAGCTCAGCTGAGTCTCACAATAGCCAGTCCCCAGACATCACTGGCAGATGAGCTGTGGCACTAAGTCCCTGAGGGGGCCGTAGTTGCTGCAGAAATGTGACTTGTCAGCCAGGATCAGAGCAAGTGTCTCTTTGTGCCATGCCACCAACCTTTCCTGCTCAGTTACCATTGCTTTCCAGCAATGACCTCATCTTTGGATATTCAGAAGTGCTGTGCTTTGCATTCAAGAGTGCCTGGTCACCATGGGAACATGGCTTTTTGTCCCTCTCTGCCTTGGCTGGGTAGAGATGCTAGGAAGTCTTTGATTATGTTCCGAGCAGATGAGCATGAGTCATTTCCTTCACCTTTTTATTGTAGCATGTGCTGTACTAACTCTTGGAGGGACCTGGTTCTTTTTTTGCTCTCACTGGACTGGCTCCTGTGCTGAAAAAGCTTTTCTTTCCCCCAGATCATGTCCAGTCTCACCTATGGTATCCTCACAGTTGGGTCTGGCTGACAGCTACTGAGATCTTTGGCTTGTTGTTTGCATCTTACAAGCCAGAAGATCTTGTCAACAAGTGGAAGGATAGAAAAGCAGGGAAGAAGAAAAAGGCGTCAGCAGTACTGTCTGCATCCACAGTCTTCTTGACTGCTGAACTGGACAAAAAGGTAATGATGTCTGTACTGCTCCTTCCCCCTGCCCATGCCCATTCCCTGGCTGGGACATAAAAACAGTGTTATACTTTGGCATGCACATTTCTCTGCTGCCTAATCGACATCACTTAAAGCATTTGAGGAAGTGTCTCTGCTGCTGGGAGGGAGCTTCTCTGGGGTCATATTCTCAGCAGCACAGATTCCCCTCTAGACTGCAAGATGCAGCCAGACTTGCTGAGCTGATCCCTTGGCTTCCCCTGGGAACTGCCTTCAGTGGCTGCAAAACACTGCTTTGGGTTTCTGCTACTGATTACCTCTTAGGGAATAATTCCCTTCTCCTATTTCTTCTCCACAGATGAAGGAACTTGCGTTTGCATTCTGCCATCAGCTGCAGTCCAAGTTCCTGGACCTGTCTCTGGGAGAGCAGGTAAGAGCAGGAGCAGGTCTGGGGCTGTAGGTGGGCACAGAGCAGGCCCTGGCCCATCCAGGAGTGTTACATCCTAGTCAGGACAGCAGTGCTGCTGGCTGGTGGTGGCTCAGGGTAAATACACAGTGCAGGGCCAGCTGCTCCCTGCTGAGGGCACCTGAGCTGGTGAGTGTCTCACAAGTCCCCCTTGTGGTGTCAGCCTGCTGGAAGGGCTGAGGCGTGGCAGGGACAGGAAGGGGAGGCACCGTGCAGGGCAGGACTAGGGTCCCCTCTGTCCAGCCATCCATCAGGGAGAGTCTGTCTCTGCAGTCCAGACTGGAGCAGGTTGGGCAGCCACGTCCTGGAGCAGGAATCCAGATCTCTGGTGCTGCTTCCCTGCAGCTGCACTGGAGCCCTGGCTGTTTGCTGGGAGCATTTAGTCCAGCTTTATGCTGTTGCTTGAAGGTCTGATTCCACTGTGAACTTAGTCAGAGATTTCCTGGTGGAGAACCAGAGGCTGCTAGGGGCTGGGAAGCAAAAAGATCAGCCCTGCCTCGGGGTGCTGCAGCCTGAAAGGCATGGTAGCTCATGGGGAAAGACTCTTCCCAAACTGCAGGAGGAGATTGAGGTGAGCTTTCCTGTTAGGAGCAACATGCAGGGCTTGAAGCCATTACAGCCTCCTGGGATGTCTAGTTCTTCTTTCAGATCTGGTCTTGGCTCTTACATACCCTGGGCACTGCTGGTGCTGACACTGGGGGAACCCACACGGACTGACTACTCTGTTTTTACACTTCAGGTTATAAAGAATTTGCTTTTTGTGGCCAAAGTTGTTTACTTGATAGCCCCTGCATTAGAAGAAGGCAAAGAGGCTGAAGGAGAACTCAGCTGTGAAGTGGAAGAGCAGGAGGCCTCAGAAGAAGAAGAAGAAGGTAAAGACATTTCTGCTCCAGGAGAGGGAGAAAGGGAGGACACAGAAGAGAAAGGCCAGCCAGCCACATTGCTGTGGTTAATGAAGAAGCTTTCTCTCATGGCAAAGCGCGAAGCAGCATATTCCCCTAAGGTCCCTTTAAAGGTAAGAGGGTTAGACCAACTGCTTTTGATGTGGTAGGCACTTGCACAGGAGAGTGCTGCTCTGGCTCTTTGCTTCCAGGGAACTAGCAGTAGAGGGTGGTGGGAGCTGGTGCTGAAGCGAGGACTAGGAGGTGCCAAAGAAACAAGCATTTTGGTTTGGGATTCTCGGGAAAGGCTTGTGCCAGTCAGATTTTCTTTGCTGATTCAGCTTCCAGCCTTCCTGTGGGGTGGTGGAAAGGTGGTAAACCCAAAGGCATGAAGCTGAAGGGGACAAAGCACTGCCTTTGAAAGCCCAAGAGTGATAGGTTTGTGCAGGCAGGGGAATGGCCGTGTGGAGTTACTTGCTAGGAGGAGGAGGGTGTGGGAGAGTGTCAGGAAAAGCGCTCTGGTTCCCCATGGTGCGGAGTTAGAGAGGTTGAGTTTTCATGTCTTCAGCTGCCTCAGTACAGGGCAGTGAAAACAAGCCTGTTGTTCAGTGTTAACAACTGCCAACCTGGTGAAGTCACAGCTCATACATTTACAGATCCCATGGGGTTGTGTCTCATCTAAAGGCCTTACTTGGCTGCCAAAAGACCTTGTCACAGCAGTGAGTTTCTGACTCAGGTGTCTGAAACGACGCCTTGTGCATTGAACAGTGATGCACAGCGCTCCTGTAGCAGTTCAGTTTGGCAGTTTCCTTCCAACCTCCTTTATTTCATGTCTCACTCATTTTCAGAGAAGCTGCATCTTTAAGTTCCTGGGAGCAATCTCAGTGGATCTGGGGAAAGACAGGATCAAGCCATACCTTCCAACAATTCTCACCCCTCTGTATAGGGAGCTGAACAGCACCTATGCAGAGCAAGGTAAGTGATTTCCCTCACAAAGACTAGCAAAGAGGAAAGCAGGTCAGAGCTGTGCCTCAGCACTAACACCTCCTGTCGTTCCTTTTGTCTGTTGAGGCACAGATGCTGTAATCAGTGAATTTCCCCTACTTGCAGTCTATCCAAAATATCATGAAGAGGAGAGTGTATGACAGGACGTTGACAGAGACTGGAATAAAGTTAGGCAGGCTCCTGCATGCAAGTGGGTAAAGCTTGAGCATGCGATGTAGTGGAAAAAGTGGACTCATGGTGGCAAGACCAAGTCCTTGCTGAGGAGAGGAACAGAGTGTGGGCGTTCAGGAAGCCAGAACAAGGCTGTTGCAAGTGTCATTGTTTTTGAATTGCCACGTTGGATCTCTGAAGCTTAGGGGCATGATGATCCATGCCCTATGGTTAAAAATGTGTTTCAGTTTTAATGTAAATCAGGGCGTGTTTCGTGGCAGCTTGTGTAACTGTAGAGCAAGGGACTGTACACGTCTGAATCACCAGTTTGGTGGTTGCTTGATGTTTTCCCCAAGCTTCCCCTTTTGAAATAGAGAAAATGACCTTTAGTGCGTGCCACGTGTGCACAGTTACTTAAAGCAAGTAACCTGTGCAGGTGGGGGAAGAGAGCTGTTTGCCATGGGAATGCAGCACATGGTGTCTGCAGGAACTGTGCACAGAACTTCTCCCTTCCTCCTGAGCGAGTCCAGATCACTCTGTCCTGTTAGACACTACCTGAGCAACACCACTTGTTTCTCCCTGGAGATCCATGTTGTTTAAAAAAAAATCTTAATTCATGCCTGGTGGGGGAAAAGACAAACCAGCTTCCCATTTAACACGAGACTCTTGGCTTAAGAGCGAGACAGTGGTGTTTAGATAGTTCATGAAAATTTTTTAAGTCAAGCAAAATCCAGTGTCAGGAAAAGAACAGACAACAACAACCGAAGAGTTAGATTATCTGTGGTTTGTATATGCCCTGAAAATTCAGTGTGCAGCACTGGGTCCCCACATCTTAGAAAGGATATGAAAGAACTGAAAAACCTGGGGGAGGGCAGTAACAGTATAACAGCGGGCTAGGGCACTAACAGTGGGCTGGGTAAGGACCAGCTGCCTTGGCTACCTTTTTATTTTTTAGCTAAGCAAGTAGGAGAATTGGAGAAGTTCTGGTAGAGATTTGACAGTATCGTGAGTCGATAAAGATCAGCTTTTTGCAGGGGCCTTCAAATGAGTTTTCAGAATAACTGCAGAGATGGATTTTTCACATGACAGGGGCTGAAGATTCAGGGAACTTGTCGCTGAAGGACCTTGTGGAGGCAAGCAGCTTACACAAGCTTCTCTGGAGGCTGCACTCAGAAGAGGGATCTATTGGAAGACTGAGGGAAGCATTTGCTCTGCTCTCAGTTTTCCTTTAGCATCTCTTTGTAGCCTTTTTTTATCCCCAATATCTTTTTTTTTCAGTGATTGTAGTTAATGTATTGTAACTTACTAGTGATCCTAACCATTAAGCCAGCCCTTACTAGACAAAGAGATGGCGACTGACAAGGCTGGAATCGCCTCTATTTCCAACAAAGCCTATTCCAAAAGAGCCCTGGTGGCTATATACAGCAAACCACTTCTAATAATCTCTGGGATGCCATTATCCTTCTGAAAAAAACTGTTGCTCCTCAGAAGCATTATTTTTTTCTTTGCCTGTGGGAATTGCCACTTGTGTTCCCTCCAGCAGATTTCACAAGTGCCTTTGCTCTGATCTCTACAGTATATTGGGCAAGATCAATCAGTGCAGTCATCCTTTAGTAAAGAGGAACCGTTACTGGGCTCTTGGCTTTCATTCCACGTGCTGAAAAGATTAAACAAGTTATTTTTGTTTTACTAGATCCAACACTGAAGAACCTTTCCCAAGAAATCATCGAACTGCTCAAGAAGTTAGTTGGACTGGAGGCTTTTTCACTTGCCTTTTCTTCTGTGCAGAAACAGGCCAATCAGAAAAGAGCAATGAGGAAAAGGCAGAGGGCTCTGCAGGTAAGATTCTGCTTTCTCTTCTGGGAAAAAGAAATAGGGTTTCTCTAAAGGCTTGAGAGCTGACTGGGAAGGGGAGTTTGAGGAAGAACTTCATCCTGAATTGGGACAGTTTCCTTTCTGAACCTTCAAAAGAAACTGTTTAAGATCAGCCTCCTGGGCAGGTTCTGGCTGACAGT